TTATTTACAACTTCTAATGATTCACTCCATATTTAAAAACGATTATATCTGTCCAGTGATGCTTTTCACGATTTTATTGTTGACATTAGCAGTATTAGGTTCATCATTTCGGTTGGGAAGTTGAAGTCACTAAATCCTGCTACAATTATGCCTACCAAAGTTTCCATTCAGAGTATTACTGGGTATAAACTTCCTATTCTTGGGTGATGTAATCTATTAGTCCGAGATGATAAATCTTCAATATAAATTGTGGATTTCTCATCACTGAATGTGAATCGTCTATACTAGGTCTATGAAGTTAAAGAATGCTTCAGGGTTGAATTTCTTTTATTGACCACTGGAAATGGTTCTAATGATGTACATAACTTACTAACTACGGGATCGAATTGCAGAAAGTTACGCTCGACTTAAAAGTCCCCTCATTTTCATGTGCAAACAAGACATTTCAAAACCTAAAAAGTAAATGTCAATTCTACTATCGCTGCAAAGTTAAAAGACCGGGAGAGGAGAGCAGATAGTCACTTAATTAAGAATTACTAGACCGTGCGAAAAACAATGATGAAAATACTTAAGGAAAAAATCCTTGCGGAAGAACCGACTTCCCACAATCCATAGGTCTGCTAAAACAGGTCAATAAATCTGTGGTTCGTATGCGAGTCAGTCACAACAACCGAATGCGTTAAAAGGAACCAGGTGAGTCTGTTCCAATTTCGGTTGTTAATCTTAATACTAATGAGTACATTCTAGATCATACAAAGTCTACATCCAATACACAGTATGACAGACACACAATGAACCTAAGAAGATGCACAATCGATTACAGCAATTTCGACTCAAATTTAAGCTATGGAGGTTGCATTTGTACGAACTAGTGATTTTCTGTAATTAATCACCCGCTTGATTTCGAATCCTAAATACAATACGTCCGGTTGTGCCCACCTAGTTCTATCCATCTTAAACTGCACTATTTCAGGAATTCCTAGTTGATACAATAATTCAAACACTTGTAATAATCATATCTCATCAACCGACTTTTCATGTATACCTACTTTTTTATGCCAGACCTCAGTCTTACAAAGTTCTCCATCAAATAAGAATGGCCATGTTTCACAGCCTTAAATAGAAAGGAAGCGAGACGCTAAAATACTCGCCTCTTGACTGTCAAACGGTTACGTTACCTACGTCATAAGTCATGAAATGTGCCAAGGGCCGAAAGAACCTTTCGTACTCGTGTAACGTTGTGTTAACCATGGCTGCTCAGATTCCTACAGTAATTGGGATTATAAATTTATTATAGCCACTATTTGTGTGAGTCGGTAGTGAGTGTTCACACATCTAATGGTTGAAAGCTCATGCAAATCGCCAGGTTATTATGAAAATAAATTCCATAGAAAATGGTTTGCTCAAAATACAATTTCCTTACGCAGTAACATCTATAAATCATTAAGATATAACTATTAGTTCATGAAGATGTTAGGTAGTTGAAATCAGCTAGTAAGAAGCTCTAAACCCATGTTTGTGCCAATCAGCAATTATCAGTTGGGCATATCTGCAATATTAAATCCTCAAAACCTAGATCCAAGGCTTCAATATCAGTTACAAAATACTAGAAATTAAACATAATCCTCCATGAGGTTAAGTTACTTAGTCTACTGACCACATTGTTAATTAATCAATGAAATAAAATCACTACTGAGAGCTAGACAACATAACATTGGTCACTAATTAACAGATCAATGGTTTATTTCATAGATATATTTGTTAATTTGTATCTGTAAAAAAGAATTCAATATCACTATCTATGCTTATGACTTGAAGCAATACCGAGGCGATTCGCACAAGATGCACATAAGCCAATAAGAGACTGGTCAATTTCAAATCTATACAACCAATACAAAATGAATTAAACTTCACCACATTGCACAAGCTAGTTGCTATCTGAACTTAATAGCTTAATGGATGTGATGGAATTTGAAGCGAACGGTACTGTGTTTGAGTCACGTAGTGAACTTTGACCCAAGGAATGCAGGTACATCTAGCTAACGAGTCTCAAATAGGATGAGACGCGCGTCCTGGTTCCCAGTGCTATCCACCATTCATCTCTGCTCATTATTTGTTTTGCTTGCTTCTACAAACATTTGGATGTAAACTGCTAAGAATTATCTGTTGATTTCTTTTGTTTGATGTAGAAAAGCTACCTTGTAAAAAAGGGGAAAATGAAGTCACTTGTAAATAAATCTCCTACTACTATTTCCCTATATATCATCGCTTCTACTTGACTGTTTTACATGTATAACAAAACTATTTCATTAAATTTTTGATTTAGATCATGAATCGACTGATACTATACCACCATTGAAAACCTGGAAGCATTGAACGGCCGTTTCGTCCTATTGTGGGACTCCTCAGCAACCCGCATCCACGACCCCACCCTATGGGATTCGAACCCAGGGTCTTCAATCTCGCACGTGAACGCTTAACCTCTAAACCACTGAAATAGTCGGCATCCATCGATGTTCATGTCTAACCTCAACCAATCCATGAAACTGTACGACCATCTTCCATTGTACTGAAGTAGATACTTGTCTCTACCCGACACGGATTAGCTCTACTGGTCACGACTTCTCACTAGAACTTCGAAAATTCCCTCATAGAGATTAACTTAAATTACACTTCATTTATTCTCAAATATTCAATGAATAAATACAACATTTGAAAATAAAACACATTTTGAAATAAGTTAAGAAATAAAGTAAAACAAATTAAGAATATAATATTGTATTATTGTCAAGTTTACAAAATACATAATGATTCATTTATTTATGTAAAATGTTTTTTGTTTTCTTTTTACAAATTGAAATTGACAAGATAACTTAAAAGTAAATTATATTTATGACAGTGGTTGCCATAGTAACAGTTATTAATAATAATAATAATATCTTACAAGCATATACACTTGGTAGCAGCTAATCATTTAAAATATGGTTTTCCCTAGGATTATTATTATTATTACATAAAAACTGAACGTGATCTAATTAAAACAAACATTTTGTTTATCTTTTTTTGAAAAAAAAACTTATAAATTACTTAACGTTAAAATAAATGACATTTAACATAAATTAGAAAATGACATTCTTTTGTCAGAAGGAGACAAAAGAAGTTTTTTCCTCAATATATAAATGTTATAACTTATGTGCCCTGCTAATGAAACGATACCGCCAATCAGGGAGCAGTGAATTATCGATTGGACCAATGACGCGTAAAACCCGTACGAGTAGTCTAGAAGTCCTTATTTATTGGTCCTGCTTCCTGCCTAACCTAGCCAGTTAAGTCCAGAATACCAATATCAGCAGCCTCTGCAAAATGAAATCGTTTATTTCAAACGTACGGAGTTTATATACCAATCAAACAGACCACAACGTACCAATAAAATATGAAACAACATTTGTACAAGAATTAGCCAAATGTGGCTGTGAATGTGGGAGGTAGTAATTAATATACTGAGTATAACTCAAGAATGGTAAAACGTATAATAATAGTATATGGGTCAAAATAAAGCTTATAATAAGAGGAATATGAATATGCATAGTTTAGTTACTTAATAATTATAAAATAGAAATATACGTTTAGTATTGGTCCATCAATAGATCCCAAGAGTTACCATTCATTATTCTTATCGGGACATAACAATAAACAATTTATTTATTTATTTTTATTGGTTCATGTTAATGGATCGATCAACTTTTGGTGATTTTTAATAGAAATCTATGTATGAATTCACAATGTAGACAATTGAATCCCAACTTGGTGATCTAGGTTAATGACGTCTCTATATAACCTGAATGTTTTACCTTCTGTTGCAAGAAAAGATCATGAATCAATAAGTAGACACTTCCATACGAAGATGAAACAATTGTCCAAAGATTCTTTGTTTTTAACAGTTGTATAACTAGTCAGTCATGGTTGTAAACTGTCTTTTGCTTCGTATTAGTGAAATACTTGTTGGAAAGCTATTTTGTTATGCCAATGACGATCTTTAGAACTTTCATATTATCAAGTAAACATCTCTATCTTCAGATTATTAAGCTGGATCTTTATCGTCTACATTCCGAACCTTAAAAAGTAATCCACAAAGACTGACTCAGTACTACCATTAGTTAACGAATAACGTAGTAAAAAATATCGTCTGTAAAGCCTTTAGAGTTGATAGTAGAGAATATATCATTGTGTAAATAATATAATATGAAGGAGAAACACTCAGAACTTGTTCGACAGATGTTTAGAAGCACTGGAGTTTAGAAAATGCTTTCCATAAACCAGTTTGTTAAACCAAAGTCTTAAGTATGCATAAAAAGTTATTTTTCGTAGCAATCCTTCATTTCTTGCTGTTTTCTTCTTTTAGGATAGAATAAAACAGCGGAATTGCACCTCAGCTTGAAGTGATTGTGATCCAATATTACCTCCGTTTATAATTCAGACTTATAACTCCTCAGTATAACGTTCGTTTTATTTTCAGTGATATTTTGTTTATTATAAGATTGATTTTAATTTCAGTGTGATAATTACTCAGGACACTAGTTTTTGAATTGAATTAATGTGAACTTAACTCAGTATGACACACAGCATGGACTCTTTGTAGTACCCGTTTTGTAGTTTCCTTTTGAGACATTTTTTAACCAAACGTCAAGTGTAAAATTAATATAAAAAAGAATGTTTCTGACTAAAGTAGTTGATTTATTTCAGATTGTGAAATAAATCTGCCTCTATAGTCAGTTTGTCTTTTTATTTGCATAATGTATATCACAGTGGTTCTCTGATCAAAGCAATCAATCGTTTAGAAATAATGTTGGTTTTCCTGCTACAAATATTCAGTCAGCATTAACATAGAGCCTGGCATAGACGTGGATTGAGCCTGAAGGGCCAGCGAAATGTCGCTAAGCCCTAGTCAAATCATCCGGCAGTTGGGTCATTGAATATCGATCCTCGTCAGGGTCAGGGACAACCAACACGAATCAGTTAATCGTATGCCATGGACTGGCCCATGGGACAGTGGTCTTACTTTCGCTTGTATCTACTTTAACTAATATATTTCTGTAATAACGTCCCCTGTGTTGTACAGTCTTCAGAGCATCTATGGTACCTTGATACGTCAATGGGGTAGTCCACGTAAGGTGCTGACCACGAGGTGTGACTTCGACTTTAGCCAGTTTTTCACACAATTCATGTCTAGCTCGAGTAGGCCTCCGATCATTTTCGACATAGTTAATCTACGTTGGTGATCTACAAGCCAATTTACCATACTGTGTTAGTAAGACGAGATGAAATTAACAAGATATATAACAAGAGAGATTGAAATAATGTAGTAGAAATTATAATGAGGAAAACTAAGCATTGAGGATAGAGTTCTAGAAAACAGAGTACAAAGAAGTATGTATGAAGGAATACTGGAGTTCACTATCGATAGAAAAATAGAGAGTGAATATATCTGCATCATAATGAACGATTGAACCATGTCACCCAGTGTCCAATCATTGATCGCTGTTATTGAACAATTATTCAGCAGTCTTTACGGTTACAACATATATAAGAATATAAACTTTGTAACTAGACCAGAATTATCTAACACTACACCACTTATTCTACCTCTGTAAAGTTGATTTTCGGTCTTCTAAACCAAAAAATGTTAGATCCCAAAACCAGGCTTATTCTCTAGTTTCATTAAACAATGTCAGTTTTTACAGCTAAAAAGAAGAATAAAAAATACAGACTTGAATATAATGCAATACCTTAATTGGACCTTAGTACAGCAATGCTAGTTCAGTAATAGCGGTTATCTCCTGAAAATTAAACGAGCCTTAAACATTAGCACAGGCTGTTTACTTGTCATGGTCAAGATATGGCATCTATCACTCCAAAATGGACATAAAGTTGTAGTGATGACACTTTCTCGAAATGTCTATGACTTTCATGTACTACTTATCAATGACAGCAATATACATCTTATGATTCAAGTGGCCGATGGGGATTTGTTGGTCGCAGGTCAGATAACGGGAACCGTCTACTGCAACTGTGCACAGACCACAACGTTTCTGGTTAGCACTAACTACCGGTACAGTCATTGCCGATGTGCCACTTGGCGTCCTCCCTCTGCATCTCAAGCCTGAACTCAGATTGATCACATCGCGATCAGCTACCGCTAGCGTGATTGTGTACAAGACTGCCGCTCCTTTTGGAGTACCTGTATGAACTCTGATCATGCCCTTGTTTGCGCTAATCTAACCTTACTTTTCAGTGGCTAACAAATTCATCGTCCTAAACGGATCAATGTCAGTAAATTGGTTGCAGCTTCTGTTGCAACTAAATATCAAACCGAGCTGGGTTCAAGGCTAGCTAACATCCCATCGTAAAGTATAGATGAGCACTGGTTGCAATTGCATGACGCCACGAAAATGGCGAGTTAAGTCGCTCGCGGTTTCGCGAAACGTCCCACCTATAAACACTGGGTTTCTTCTAGCTCCTTACAACTAATTGAAGCCCGTCGGTCTACTCAGGGTGACCACGAGTTTGACCACAAACGACGACTGTTACGCAATGAAATTGAGCAAGGCTTACGTAAGGACCGTGAAGCCTGGCAGTCGGGGCGTGCCAATGACTTAGAAGCAGCAGCTACATCTGGTAACTGCCGGAAGCTCTTTCAATTCATCCGAGCCATTGTCATACCTCCAAAGGTCCTGGTATGGCCGAGTGTGGAGGGCCCGCCCCCCTTTCGAAATGCTCTCACATGGCCACGTGCATACATCCACTGCCTTATTGCGGCATTACTGTTGTTTAAGAAATTCAGAGGACGTAAAGCGGAATTCCAGCATTTTAACTGGGTTCGTGAACACGGAGGGTTCACCTGGGGGAGTTGGGAAACCCTTATTCCAAACCAATGGTACACATAGGCTTCAGTATCCCGAAGGAACAAACTGCGTATGAACCAAATTTTGGTCACCGGCTACCACGGGACTGCATCTCTTTACGATGCTCCACTGCCTTGTGGATCAGACCTTTCGGTCGAAGGCTCGGGGTGTGGCCCCCTAAGAAAACCACCTGAGATGACAATCATTTCAGGAAGTACTATGCTCACTACAATTAGAATTTAGACATTCCACATTCACTTGATAACACTCATTTTTATTATTATTACTATTTTTTATATACTACGGTGTGGCTCAGATGTATCTGGTGCCCCCTTGTACCAATATTTATGTTCAAAATAAATAAAGAGCCATTGGGAGCAAGAAGTTTGACGTAAGCAAAACAAACCGTGAAGGTGAAGGGATGCCAATCACTAACATCTATCGACTTCTTGGACGACGGGCAGTTTAACTGGTCTGCTGCTCCAACAACATCGGTCAGACTGTCCTGCCCTCCATGGCCGGTGACGATTGATCCACCAAATGAGGCGGAAGTCCGCAAGGAACTCCAACCCTTGAAGCGTTACAAATCACCTGGCCTAGATGACTTACATCCGGCTCTTTTTAAAGATGGTGGTGACTTTTTGACTAAAGAATTGACGACGTTGTTTGCAAAGGTCTGGGAACTAGAGAGTGTACCAACGTCATGGAATGAGTCGGTAGTTGTCGCTATCTTTAAAAAGGGTTCACGTCGTTCCTGTAACAACTATAGGGGGATAAGTCTACTTCCGATTGCGTCCAAGCTATTGGCTTCCGTCATACTTCGTATGTTGTTCAAAACCCGAGAAAAATTGTCTCGCGAGGAGCAGGCTGGGTTTCGTTCTGGTCGAGGATGTATTGATCACATCTTCACTCTCCGCCAAATGTTAGAACACTGCATACTTATCAAAGGCCAACAATCGCAGTGTTTCTTGACATCTGGGCTGCCTTCGATTCGTTGGACAGGATTGTTCTCTGGAATTGTCTATTGAAGAACGGTGTGCCTGAGAAGTTTATTAACACCTTAAAAGCTCTATATACAAACACCTCAGACAGAATGAGGGCATACAATCACCTCTCCATTGTTCCATGCAAGCAATGGGGTTAAGCAGGGTTGCCCAATTTCACCATTCCTCTTCAACCTTACTATCGACGTCCTGGAAACAGCTCTGATGGATGTAAGTAATGGAGGTGTGGATCTGTTGCCTGGAGAAAGACTTCTCGATCTTGAGTATGCGGATAATATTGTCTTACTGTGCGATAATGCCCAAGGCATGCAATCCGCACTTAATCAGTTGGCAATCAGTGTCCGTAGGTATGGTATTTGCTTCGCACCTTCGAAATGCAAAGTACTTCTACAAGACTAGCAGGACCTTGACCCTGCACTCACCCTGGATAGTGAGCGGCTTATGCCAATCTGGGCCACCTTTGGCATCTTCGTAATGTTAGTCTGGCTGTAAAACGTCGGACCTAAAACGCGTCGGTGAGAGTAGTTTTGCTCTATGCTTGTAAAACCTGACCCCTTCTAGTTGAGGATGTTAGACGGTTGTGTTTGATCATCGCTGTCTCCGAAGGATTGCTGACATCCAGTGGCAACACCATGTTAGTAATGCAGAGGTTCAGGCACAGCGACGATAATTCGATTGGTGTCACTATCTTGAAACATCGACTTCAGTGTCTTGGACATGTACTACGAATGTCGTCCCAGAAAATTCCTCTTCGTGCATTATTTGCCGACATTGGGACTGGTTGGAAGATAGCGGAGAGATGGCCAGTGTATGACATGGTGTCGTGGTATGAAAGCTGCAAAGGGTTGGCTCCTGTTGGTCCTTCACGTTTCCCTGGCTGGGGTTCGAGAGATGGTGCAACACAGTGGCTAGAGAAGTTATCAGATGCGGCTCAAAATAGGAACCAGTGGCGACTCTGCTCTAACGTTATTTCACTTTCTTCATAAAAAAGGACGTAACTTTTTTGACTGGAAGAATTCTCCCTGGCTGTACTTTTGTAAACTGAACTGCCTCTTCCATTACTATTTCACTAATGTCTGTTCGTTATTGTTCCCCTTTTTCTTATACACCCCTTACATTCTCTATCTCTTCACATTCTCATTATTATTGTGTGATGCATATGTATCTGGTGCTCCTTTGTACCAATATTTATATGTTCAAATAAATAAATAGACCAACCATTATAAATAAAAAAACTGAGTCCAGGAGGTTAATTTGTGCTCCTAACTAAGTGAATCTCTGCTGATAACAACAGAATAAAAAATAGATTTAATAATTTAGAACGATGAGATGGCCCCGGTGAAGTTGACCGACTGAGCGAAACGATATTGCATTAGCAGTCTGTCTCCACTAAGTCAATTTTAAATTCTACTAAACCTAATGTTTTGAATTTGTTTGATGAACATGTCAGATATGCAGTTAAGTAGTCCACAATTTCGAAATCGTCCGCTATAAAACGCAGTCATTTACGGATGGCATCTCGAAGCTGTTTTAAATCAATGAGGTATTTAGGACATGTATGGAATATTAAAAGAAATATAGATCTTAAAGAAACGAGTATCTTTCACTTCACATACACGGGATTTCTGTATGCCATCAGGTGATACTAGCTACAGTGAGGAAATAAAATCCTCAGAAAAATCACCCGAAAATGTTTACAGCAAACCAGTCCTATATAACCCGACATCATTATGCTTTCAACTTCCTTAACTTTACATTTCAACAAGGTAAAAAGGAATGGATTAATCGAAAGACAAAAGTTTGCAGGACAAGCATTTTCATTTTATCGTTATGAATATATAAATAAATAATATGTACAAATGCAATGTTTCATTTTGTCGCCATCTAAACAGAATAAGATTAATGAAAAAATGGTCGCTTACTCTGAACTGCTCTTCTATATTCGAGATCTCACTTATAAGATCTTTCAGAGCAGAAACGAAAACATCTACAGGTGTCGCCGGATGAGCTGTATGTACTCGAATGACGATTTTGTGCTCTAATGGATGAGGAGCTTTGTATCCTGCAAATAATACTCTTGGATCTTTTAGTAACTGGCTAAATTAGGAAAACAGAAAAAAGGACAAGTTTGAAAGAATGTTTAATTCAAGAAATAAAATAATTCCGGAATATCCGCCGTAACTAGTGGGAGACAGTAGAAACTAAAGAGTAAAATAGCGACCTTTTGTTATGGGCGGTGACACTGGCATCTCAATAGAAACAAAAGAGTGATAGGTAGAATGATGGTAGTTGCATTATTTTTAGCAGCAAAGTAAAAGTCAAGCGTTAAACGGTAAAATGAATAAGATGAAGACCAAAAGTGGTTAAAGAAAAGACAGTGAGTAGAGAACTGCCTGAAATTTATGGAAGAATAAGACTAATATGCACACATAAAAGTAATTAATTTGAGCATGAACGACTAAAGCCTTGTACCTTCCTTTTATCAAACCTATACCCTTCAGCTTGGATACTTAAGTCTAATATTAGTTTTAATCTAGTCACTCCACAGTTTTATGGCATTATGTTTGCTCGTGATCTTTGTATGAATTCTGGATGACCTTATACTTTACATAACTTGTGCCATAATAGAATTAGAAAGTCAATTAGATGCCTCATACAAATCCTTTAAAATACACTAACTTTATTCTGAACTGCACTGGTGTTTGTTAGTTTATCATGGCTCTTCAGTTATAGTCCTAAAGATCGTGGCACTTGAGACGTAGTCAGATATGGTTTTAAACAGGAGTTGGCGGAGATTCTATCATCATTTTCATCACCGTTCTCATAACAACTCAAAGTTAACAGTTATTTTGAAGGTGTAGTCGGACTGTACTAGCTTGATGATAACTCTATAGGAACTAACTTGTTTGCTTACACATAAAGTAAAATGGATCTCCAGCCTATCAACTATTATCAGTAATTACTTTCTCCAAATATGTTGTTTTACTCGACTAAATAAGGATCTAATAACTAGTGATTCATAAAAGCGAGTAAAAAGTGTCATACTGCCTGGATTTAAGGATAGTATGGAATGCTGAATTATGTATAGTACTATATACAGAAAAACAGATATGTCATAAAGCACCGCATAACGAAAATCACTTTAAGTTGCCAAGCTTCTCAACGCAAAGAGAAGACAGAAAGATATTAAAATGAACAGATAGGGAAGGACTGCATTGACAGTTTACACTCTATGACACATTTAACACCAATGGTTAGTGACTTTATTTAGTAGTAGCATGTTTCAGCGTGGTGACATTTGATACAAGTCCAAAACCTAATCGATGAAATAACCTATCTCCTCTGCGATTGTGAGTATAACGTAGATAATAATATTCATAAAACATACATTCACACAAAAGTAATCTTGTTGAAACTCAGTAATCAAATGCGAATTCACATGCTCAACTCTAAACTACACTCTGTGTGATGAATAGTAAGTACATCTGGATGCCAGAACGGGGCTAAGCGGGACGAATTTCGAACATGCAATTCAGTAACCGGGAGTTGGTCGACCTAATCACTAACTTATTATACTACCGATGGTTTATATCCCACTTATGGTGAAAATGATGCACTAAAATTAGTCGTATACCTGGCGAAAGCAATTATTTCTACAAACCACTTTTAAGAAAGGCAGCAAAACGAACATGAGTACGAATAACGTGTAAACATTGGTAAAATTCCAATCTGCTTGGTAGACAATAAAATCAAAACGTCTGTATGGTACTTACGCTTGGACTGAAACACTTACAAATAAAGTTGAACAGAGGAATTACTGATAATATGAATACCAGAAAGTTCTGACTACTGAAATGAATCAAATAAACACAAAAACTTCATGGGTGTAGAAACGAAACAACCACGGAATTATTCGGCTCGGATAATTGGTACTTCACAGTCCATACCACTAAAGTTTAGTTTAATATGTATTCACTACCGAAGCTTGGAATTTTATGAATAATAACATGATTAAGTAGCTATCTTCACATACCACACTTAACCATACCCCGGAAAATAAAGTTCAGCTAACTGCATTGAGAACTCTACCGAGATCGAATAATCAGTAAACTTCGTGCAACACATAGCAGTCATTTTAAGAAGCATATATGTACTCAATATACTATTAAAAAACACACCATGTTATCATATTTCCAACAGTGTGATCCTCTCGATTTAGGGTAAAAATGGCAGCATTTGGAACCTGAGTATCCTTTTCGAAGGAGATCCTGCAAGTATAATAATGTGTCAAAGACCCACTTCTTCTCACCATCGGCAAGCAGGAATGGTTCGAACGAAGCAGGAGCATTCATAGTAACTCACAACTTCGTAAGTGCGGGTAAAGGTACGACCTCCAAACTTTGACTTTTTACTTCGCCTAGGAGGATGTGTGCTGTTTGTTCCTTGGAATCTTTTTCTGGATAGCGTGAATGAGTTCTTGGTTAAAAAGAGATATTAACCTTGTTGCATTCCTGCTAATAACTGGAGGTTTTTGTGGAGGCCCGTAGTTTGATTTTGTCGTTGTTTAGGTCGGACGATGTTCGTTGAAGGGCTCACCATTTTAGTGGCCCGTGGATCTGACTCCAAGATCGTATGGACGTTCGCTATCGGCTATTCTCGTATATCATCGTCGACTTAAATCACGTTAGTCAATAACGGAATTCAGAGAAGTCAATTAACGAGAATGGCCTTTGAATACATATATTTTGTATGTAAAGTGAATGTAATAGAACAGAGCAAAATGACGCGCAGGGAGGATGGCTGGAAAGCCAACTCCATTTTAGTCAAGCGTTACTCAATATTTATAGTCAGACAAAATAAAGATACAGACATGTGATCAATTGGATAAGAAGGGCACACACATATACGCTCATATAAAAACAGTCAAGACTGACAAGCGAATAATTGACAAGGTCAAAATATGACTCAAGTAGAATGAATGGAATGGTTTGTCCAAAAACTAGAATAAGATATATGGGCTTAAAACAATGACTGACACTACAAGGTAATAATAATTAAGTTAATAAGTGATCGATTAGTGATATATAATAATCTCCATTAGTACGTGCAGGAATAAAATGGTCGTTGGGGTTTCTTTGGAAAGCAAACATGGCATAGCTATGCAGCGCTTGACAAGGCTGCTGTCAGCAACACACTTAGAACTAGTGAAACACCACGAGCCCCAGACAAATGATCCGTCAGGCTGAATATTGCAATCAGCCTTCGCACAACAGGTACGATGGAACGCTACAGATCGAGAAGAAACACGTGTATAATTAATATTTGGTAAGCTCGAAGAAAATATGAAATGCGGTTGGCACAATCTGCACTCAAGCAGCCTGAGAGAATATTCTCGTACATAAACTACGGAACAACGATGCATCATTGGACTCCCAACCTAACTAAAGAAGGGAGGGAGTCTGAATTGAGGATCAGGAAAAAGCAAAGGCTATGACTGACTACTTTTGGCAGTTTTCACTCAGGAACCTCCTTTAGACAAAGAACTAGACCAAAATAAAGAGTCAACAAACCACCTGCTCAACGTGGACCTCTATCAAGACTATGTACTTAAGGCCTTTAGCATCTTGAACATGTAAAAGTCAACAGGACCAGATGAACTACACCCCAAAATCTTGAGATATATTGCAAAATATATCGCGGTCCCACTGACTGTGATACTCAACACGTCACTTGACCAAGGTGTGCTACTTATGGACTGGAAGGACGCAATCCTCACTCCCATACATAAAACAGGACGAAGACAACTTCCGTCGAACTACAGACCTGAAAGTCTCGCCAGTGTTGTAGTTAAAATATTGGAAAGAATAGTCAAAAGGACAATAATGGCATTTATGGAGACCAATAACTTGTTAAACAGATAACAACATGGTTTTAGAAAGGGTTTATCTTGTACAACTAACCTTCTTATAGCAAGGGAATTTTGGATAAAGACAGTAGACAACGAAAACTCGGTGAATGTTGTCTACTTACACTTCACTAAGGCTTTTGATAAAGTGCCAATTAATAGACTGCTATTGAAGTTAGAAAATCCTGGTATTGCCGGACCTCTATTAAAATTACTTGAAGATTTCCTAGTAGGTCGTAGACAGAAAGAAAGAATAAATTCCAAGTGCTCCATCTGGAGACCAGTACTTCGTGGAGTATCTCGAGGTTCCGTCCTAGGTCCTTTACTTCTTATACTGTATGTAAATGATCTCCTAAGTATAGTACAGTCCCCAATGTTATTATACACTGACGATGTAAAAATCTGGCGAGTAATAAGTGGAGACGCAAACGCATACGCACTTCAGGCAGACTTAAATAATATGGTTAACTGGTCTAAAGAGTAGCTAATGCCTATTACTGCTGCAAAGTGTGTCTACATGCACTTTGGTGATACAAACAATAATAGATACAGTTTAAGGGAAGTTCCAGTACCAGTGGTCCGGTCTCATAAAGATCTTGGGGTAACAGTGAGTCATGATCTTAAGACGACGGCCCATCGCCGGGAGGTCTCAGTTAAGGGGTTTAGAACCCACTGGGCTTTAAAACGAACATTCAGTAAGTTAGATACTACCATGTTCACTATAGCATACACGTCAGTGAGAACTAAGCTTGAGAACTGTGTTCAGGCTGCAAGTCCCTGTTTAAAAGGTGACTCGAATATACTGGAAAAAGTACGGATGGCAGTTACCCGTGCAAGTTCAGAATCACGGGATTTACCATACAAAGAGCAGCTTGAAAGTCTGAACCTCTTTACTCTGTCCTACCGCAGACTAAGAGATCTAATTTTGATGTACAGAATACTAAGAAATGATCTTGGACCTAACTCACACTCTTTTTCTTCCCATTAGATCGGGACATCTCAGAGGACATAGCAGGCTAGCATAAATGCCAAGAACGAACAAATTACCCATGGCATACAGGTTCCCACACCGAGTCATCAATACTTTGAACCTGCTGCCCGAAGTAGTGATGTACGCACCTTCAAATGACTCATCCCAGAGAAGACTGGACACACAAAAGCATACTAGAAAAGGAATAACATAGACCTTAGGTCTGTAGCAGCATTGAGCCCTAACCATACAACCTCCAAAGCTAAACACAGGCTATTAACAGAGTCTCATTATTTCGACGATACTTCTTGCACCTCAGTTCTCCCCCTGACATATTAAAATAATTGTTTCCTTCGTCCCTTTTGAGTTGTTTGAGTAGTTTCCTCTTATTTTAGCAGATCTCCTAGAGCTTGAATACTGTCGCCATGTGTTATCTAGAATTCATACGTCAATACCTTAAAAGAAGACGTTAATACATAATGTTATATTATTTTTTCACGGATTTTTAAGCTCTGTTTTCAGCTTGCACACGATTGAGTGGTAATCTGAAGCCGTGTCAACCCCTTTTTTGTCCTTATGACATCAGTGAACCTTCCGAATTCAATATTGATATAAATATGAGCGATGTCTCTAATGTGGTTCAGTGAACCGTAATGAGCTTTGTTTAAGCATTTTTGGTGGATTATAGCGCCACCTATTATCATTTTTGTCGTTTTTGAGTGAACTAATGATTCCTTTGTACTTGTTGAATGGTCGATTTCGAACTCCAAATACAGTACATTCGTTCGTGCTTATCTAGTATTTCTCGATCCAATTGCGTTATTTCTGGGATTCTTAATTTGTACTATAAATCAAATACTCCTAATCATCATACTGGCGTCGCGATGGAGCCTGCGATGAAACAGTTAGACATTCACTCAACTTCTGAAGCTTTTGAGGATTATCTAGAAAGGTTTGAAATCTGGCGCATGACTAAGAAAGATGTTAAAGGTGATAAAATCGTGGCACATTTCCTGACATTCATCGAAAGAGAGGAGTGTAGATTAGTAAAAAATTTGGCACATCCAGAAAACCCTATCTCATTTCTTTATGCAACTCTTAAGGACTTACTTACTTACTTACACCTGTTACTCCTCGTGGAGGAGTATAGGGCGCTCACCATTATTCTCCATCCAACCCTGTCCTGGGCAAGGAAATAAAGTGGATACACTTCTTATGCGTGTTTCAAAGACTTGTCAGGGTTAGAAAGAGGTTCGGAGGTCCTAAAATCGTAATGCATGCAGTAGAGGAAATCCTCCACATGTCTACAGAATAGTCAGCCTCTGCAGTCATGATAAAGTCCCAAAAACTCTTTCAGCCTCGACCACATAGTTTCAATATTGTTTATGTGCACTCCGGTTGTTGAGTGCACAAAAGCTACTTTCGGATAACGACACGATGTACATAACCAAGCCAATATAGGAGTCTGTACGTCCTCCAATCACCCGTACATACTGTAGTACCTGGCTGCAGCCAGTGTTACTGGTGCTTTAATTATCCGGTTCGCAATAATTATCGTGATTTGCCTTGGTTAGGAATTATATATGGGGTTTTCATCACGAACTGACATCAGCTATAATGCCAGAAATTTATTTAGCCAAGTGCATGATAATCTTTCGCGTTAAAATCCGAGATCTATTATCTTATACCTGACTGATTCGTCCACAAATTATGGTCTCGCCGTTTTATTTGTTATAGCCACCCAATTATCACGTTTTGCACAAAATTCCCTGTGAACCGATCGTACGTTAGGATTAAGCACTGAAGTTGGCGCCGTAACCTTGAAACTTCTGAAGCGCTTCTGGTTGGCTCGTCCGTAAATTAGAGTCTCTCCGAAAAGGCTTAAGGTGGAGTTGTCCTTCCTAGTTTCTAAAGAAAATTCTGATACTTTACTCAAAGATGTGATTGCTATGTGTGCCAAGTGCGGTGGAGGTATGAAAATTCAGCCTATAAAACTTCAAGTACACGGTGATCCAGTCTTTCTTAAAAGACGAATAATTCCTTGTGGTCTTCGAGAAGCAGTACATAAGACATTAAATGATTTGTGTGCGAAAGGCATAATTGAACCAATTCAGTCTTCAGCATGGGGTACTCCTATCGTTACGCCACTGAAGTCGGACGGCAAGACCCCTAGAATTTGTGGTGATTAAAGATTAACTCTGAACGCCCGTTTGTTGAAGCAAACGTGCACGACGGTAGAGGCTGCAGATATTTCAAATCGACTTCATGGTTCTAAAGTGTTCTCGAAAGTCCACCTAAAAGATGCCTATCTTCGAGTCTTTTAGATCAACCTTTATCTAGTTTGACGACAATTAACACTTATTTTGGTCTGTTCAAATACAACTTCCTTCCATTTGGTCTAAGTTTTTCTCCATCCGTATTTCAGGAAGTTATGAATAGAGTAGTTAGTGAGCTTGAAGGTGTTGAAGTTTATCAAGATGATCTTATTGTTCATGGTTTTGATAAGGTAGTTCATGACAAGAGA